CCAACTAAAAGACATTATCACCATTTTGGAAAGCAGTAATGTCTCGAAAGAACTCACAGAACTTATCAAGGACTTAAACACAAACACAACAACCCAAATAAGAACAAACTTTACCTTAACGCAGCATCTTCAAACTACAACTGGTATTCGCCAAGGCGACAGCCTCAGCCCTCTGTTATTCAACAAAATCATGGATCAAGTAATAAAAACCGTCAAGAATACTGGATTAGGATATCGAATGGGAATGCATAAAGTAAACATATTATGCTATGCCGATGACGCAGTACTTATTGCAGAGTCAGAGGACGACCTCCAAAGAATGCTACAAGCTTTTAACAGACAGGCAGAAAAACTTAACATGCAAATTTCCACAAATAAGACCAAATGCATGACCATTACAAAGGAGCCTCTACGGTGCAAATTGGTAATAAAAAACAAAACTATTGATCAGATAATGTCATTCGAATACCTCGGATGCAAAATTACAAGCTCAGGATTCCTGGAAGAAGAAGTAAGGAAACAAGCCAATAAAGCTGCCGCAATATCAGGACATCTTAAATATCCCATATGGAAAAACAAACATTTGAGTACAGAATGTAAGTCAAGAATATACAAAACCTGCATACGACCAGTGATGACATATGGTGCGGAAACCAGAGCTGAAACATCAGTAACAAAGAGAATCCTACGAACTACTGAAATGAAGACCTTAAGAATGATAACTGGATACACATTGAGGGACAGACAGAGAAATGTAGACATAAGAGAAAAGTGCCAAACAAACGACGTTGTCAGATGGATAAGGCAGAGAAGAAGAGAATGGAACCAGCATGTCAATAGAATGGGCCCCGACAGAATGGCCATAATAATTCGCAACAACGTACCCCATGGCAGAAGACCTACTGGACGACCACCTAAACGTTGGCAAGACAGTTGACAGTCAACCTCGCAAGAGTTGCTTAGACGAGGAGGAAACCGGAACTAAACAGGCGATACGCCTTCTAAAAGAAGAAGAAGAAGAAGATAAAAACTGGATAAAATTTTCTCACATTTGCGTCAGCATGAGAAAAAACAATATGGCGATATTATTATATAACTTGGTAATATTTGAGGGGTAGTTTCATCTCGTTGGATTTGACTTTCGAAAAATCCGTTTGCCAAAAATAAGCTTTTTACGTCAAGCAGTTTAAGCAGAACCGTGGTTAAGAAAATACCCAACTTTTTGAAACACCCTGTATGATTTTTTTAAAAAATTCAAAATATGTAAAAAAAACAAATAAATTATGCTCGTCCAAGCGTTTTCCCGAAAGACTAACCGTTTTTTAAATAACAAATATTGTAATATTTGAGGGGCGTTTTCACCCTCTTGGAATTTGAGATTCGAGGAACTCCTCCTTATCGAACTTCTACACCCCACAGTCAATCCGTTTACCAAAAATCAGCTTTAAACGTCAAGCAGTTTAAGCAGAATCGTGATTACTCAGGGGTCATATTTTTTTTCTTTTTAAAATTCCCGCTTTGCTTTAAAAGGTTCCAATATAAAACAGATACCAAATATTTTTTGAAAGGTTTCATAGATAAAATCATACATAGACACAATTTCTCATAGATAAAATGCCAAACCAAACCAAACCAGATTATTAATGCTCAAATTTTTGCTCACTCTATATATCTCATCTTGCTTTGAGTGAGACTTTTCTATTAAGTTTTCTTAATCAACTTTTCCCTCTTTGTTCTCCTTGAATCAATATAGACCACTTGTAACAAAAGTACATTATTACTATTACAATTAATACTGATTTATAAAGACTTCAGTTTGTGTTGGCTAAAACAAAACGAAAACAGCGTTCCAAAAGCTGATTAAAAAAACTTTTTGTTTAAATCGAATGAATTTGTCAGGCTAGAGGTGTACGTTTCAATTTAACTTTTCTGTCTTTTTGTAATTTTAATCAGGCTAGCTAGGCTGCCGGTAAGAGAGGAAAAATGGCAGCGCGTAAATAAAACGGGAAAATCTGGGAAATTGCAAGGGATTTTCCTATTGGAAGGGAAAATTCGAAAAGCCAGTCTAAACGATATAAATTGGATAACGTTTTTCCTCTTCGGCTGTTGCAGTTTTTGAAATAAGATTTGGGAATTTCGCGTAGACAAAAATTTGTAACTGAAAATGATCTGATACAATTTATATTTTTGATTGCTTAATATTTAAACTAAATAACAATAGTGATTTTTGTGTGTTGTCTTTGTTTAGAAATGTAAGATGCTATGTGCAGCTATTTTTAAATGTTCAGGGATCTTTTTCTATTGGAGATGGACGAAAACTAATATCAGTGTCTGGAGCTCAATTTTCATCAAAAACACGACGGTGAATACCGCACATCAATATCTGTTACCGTCTCGGAGTTACGGGGTGTTTTTCAAAAATGTGCATTTTTAACAAATCGCTGTCACTTTTTTGCTGTGGAAAATTTTGTATTTCTATGAAAATATTTCCAAAGCACCCTTTTACGTAGAATTTAATTGTTCAATTATACTTTTTTTTAAATTAATAATTTAAGAGTTATCCACAGAAAGATTGATTTTTATTTGGGACATCCTGTATATTTTTAATTAACTGAAAATAACTTAAAATTACCTTTCCAAAAATATAACACACTTGATATTTTGTTATAATCCCCTTCGAAATACAGAATTTTTAAAAGTTCGCCACTTTTAACTAGTAGGCTTTGGACCCCTTATTGATGATATCCCCTAATGGAACACAAAAACATATTTTTCCAGCAAGACGAGGCATTGAATAGCTAACCATGATCCCAGCCGTTGGCCGTCGAGGCCGCCGGACTTAGTGCCTATGGATATATTTGCGGAAGAATAAAGGTTCTTATTTTTAAATTGTCCGTATTACCTAGACAAGAATTAGAAATACTTAGCAGTTATGAGAGCGTATCTTTCACCCCTACTGAGTTAATGAATTCCGCAAGATTTGTTCAAAAACGGCCCCGTCTGTCCATAACAGAAAACGTTCGATATTTCGAACACCTGTAGCAAAATCTCATGTCTTGGTTTGCTATTTATTTTTATTGTTATTAGATATAGTTTAAATGTGTTGATGTTGGTTAAATGTAGTTTAAATTGTTATAAAATTCTGCATCTCTCATAGCAAATATTATTTTCGTTTTAATTGATGCTCACAGCTAGAATTTTTTTGCATTACAGCCGGAGCCATTCAAAACCTATATACTTATTTAAACTGGGCGAATTTTTATAAACTGTATATCTCGAAGAGGAATCGAGCAAAATGTCAGGTGTGCTATATTTTTAGTAAAGTAATTTTACATTCTTTTCAATAAATTAAAAATATACAGGAACATATAAAAAATAAAATTTTCTGTTGATAATTCTTAAATTATTAATTTTAAAAAAAAATATACTTAAACCTCTCAAAAGACAAGCAAAAATGTTAGCGACCCAAAACACTCTGTTATCGACAAGATTTATGACAGACTATTAATAATAATCAAACAGGCGCACAGTGCTTCGAACATATGGCTCTAGAGGACAAAAATCCAAAACTTCTCTTTTATTGTAAGCAATTTATTCAAACTAGGTTTATTTGACACAAATGATGAGTACTCTCATTGTACTAAATGATGATGTTCTTAGTCCCACGTTTATGAAAAAAAAATCTTATAAATAATAAAAATGTTGGAGCTGTATTCCATCTAAGCAAATAATAATTTATAGTATGAAAACGGTGTAAGTATTAAATAAATCCCTGTGATAAAAAGAATTGAAATAACATTAGAACATGATTCCTACAATATAAGCCTAATATAAGATAAAAATGTTTTTCTTTAATGAAAAAGAAACATTAATGTTATATTTAATTAAAAAAAAACTTAAGATACTATAAATTTACTTTAGGACAACAAAATGCATAGATCGTAACTACTCTGATTCAGGAGAATCACTGCTGACAGAATCTTCCAAATTTATAGTATCCAAATCACAGGTAGATGAAGTATCCTCACATATAAGATATTTCTGTACATCATTTTCTAATATGTTACTTTTTCGCGTTGTTACTGTTCATTTTGTCGGTATGAGGGGTTCGGATGTTAATAGCTACCTCTTTAATAGACCATATTCATATATTATTTTTTCCTTTTCTTGGTCATGAGATTTTATAATAAATTGAAAGATGGACACTTTTTTTATGCGACGTTTCGCTCCAACATACTGGACTTTTTCAGGCACAAGTGGTGTCTCATTTGACTGGAAGGTTCATCAATATCTAATAAGAACGTATTTTTTGAAATACAAATAATTTTGAGTTCTTGTCCTTATGATCAAGCCAAGTATTAGCCAGATCGGCATTGCTTATCAATTTTACTCCATCTGAAAAGTATTATAAAATAAAGTTCGTCGCAAGCAGACGCAGATGAACTATACAAAAATTAAAAGTGTATGAATATGGCAACAAAAATATTCAATAAATACGATATGTTTTGATATGTTTTTTTTTAAATGCCTTTTTGAAGTTTGAAAACGTAAAATTTTTATACCCATTTAAGAATCATCTTAAAAAATAAATAAAAACTAAACAATCACGAACTTGTTTACAAATAAATTTAAAGTACATACCTTGTTTAACAATATCCATAGTGGCTTTCAATTAAGTACGTACCCGTTTAACTCCATAATATACAGAACTACTATGAATGTTATTCTTTTCACTGATGAGATAATGATCGCAAAATTAATTTTTAGTGAAAATATTTGCTAACAAAAACGCTGTTTATGAAAAATAATATACAGGATGGTTGACCATTGCTATAAGTATAAAATTATATATCCAGATATTAGTAAATTTTAACTTATTTTTTGATTTTTGTCCATGGGACGAAGCACTGTGAGGCGGTTTGGGCAATATCCCAACGATTTCTCGTATCTCTTGTTGTAAAACAACGCTAATATCCCTGCTTCCCCTTTGTTAATTGCAGGCAAGGGCGACCTGGTCGGCTCCGACATCAACATGCACCTGCAACACTCCAGCAACGGGGGAATGGTGTGCACTGAGGGCGGCGGGGGCGGCAACAGAGGGGGCGTCTCCCCCGACATCGTAATCAAGTCCAGCAGCGATGTGCGGGCCCTGACCTACTGCGATCTCAAGTGCATCCACATGCAGGGCCTGGTCGACGTACTGAGGTAAGTAGATGGATAATATGTTGCGCATGGATGGGTAGAGTGATGGAATTAATAGAGGGGTATTAGTAGAGCTAAATACGTATTACGTATTGTAGTTAAAGCAGGGTACATAATTTATACGTATCTCTTGAGACGCAACCACAAAACCATCCCCTTTTAGAACATTTTCTGTAATTTCCTTCAAAAAAATCCTATATGGGTATTTCGTCACTGCAAGAAAATCTGCAAAATAAAATAGTTATTGTTTGCTACTTGCTAGCAGTTAGTTTACTGATAAACACGAATTTTTGCCTAACGAACAAAAAAATGCTTCGGAATTTTCTGAAACTGCAATAATACGATACGACTTTTATTTAAAATATTTAAAATATTGAGGACAACACTTACAGCTCTAATTAAACTAAAGCCTCACTGAATAACACAACCACACAGACGTTATTAAAGTGCCAAAGTAACCGATCAAGATGGCCACCAATTAAGTCCTAATATTTTATTCCTGATATTAATAACCGCGTACATTAATATAATGTAGTGTGTTCCTTGTATTAATAACATTGTTCATTGTCACAATGTACAACTCATTAATCAATGATTTAGTACATTAATATAATGAAAATGTGTTCATTAAAGTTTCAGCATTAAAATAAAGAACGCATTCATTGCACAGTGGTTCCCAGATAGGTCATTACTTAAAAATATTCATTTCAAAATGTTGCATGAAACTGTTGCTAATACTTTTTTTTATATTCCCCTGTAAACGATGCATCATAAATAACAAAATCAAGTAAGCCTAGTGTAGCGCTTTTTCTATTAGAAATGTCACATTTTTGCTGCTGGTATCAAGCTGACATAGGCTTTGTGCTAAACTTAGGTATTACGGGTTCTCTGTGGCTGCTGTTAATTTCTTTCACAGCTATCTAGTTGATAGGTCCCAATTTGTTTCGATTAATGGTAATCAATCGGAGGCAAAGTTTACTACTAAGGGCGTTCCTCATGGATCCATTCTCGGTCCGTTACTTTTTATTATATACACCATGGACATGGCAGTGGACGATAACCACTGCAAAATGCATAGATATGCCGACGATACCCAATTACATTTAAGTTTTAGAAAATCAGAAGCATACGAAGCCCAGAACAAGGTTGAACAGTGTTTAGAAAAAATATACACTTATTCCAGCAAGAACGGGTTAAAACTAAATCCGACAAAGTCAGTAATCGTTTACTTCGGACCAAATAATAACTGGGCGGCCCAGAACATGAAAATAAAAATGTCTGATTCGATTATCTCCGTAGAAAGGGAATCAAAATATTTAGGACTTATATTTGACTCGCAGTTGAGGTTTAGATCTCAAATGAGTAAAGTGGTCAGGGCATCGTTCATCTCCTTAAGAAACCTATACAAAAACAAAGATTTTCTAAACTATAAATTAAAAAAGCAATTATGTGAGGCTCTTGTATTATCATAGTCCAATTATTGTAATTTTGTTTACGGGCCTTGTCTCGATCAAAAATCTAAGAGACAGTTACAGAAAGTACAGAATTCATGTATTCGCTTAATATACGGATTAAGATCGAGAGACCATGTTACATATAAACTAGATATGTTGAATTGGCTAAATATTGAAGACAGACAAAAGTTACATTTTGCATGTTTTTACACAGAATTTTGCGGAATGGTTTTCCTGAGTATTTAACTAATAAACTTAAATTTCGATACTCTAACTATGCTATAAGGCAGTGTAATAATATGGAAATTCCCAAACATCGCACGGCGCTATATCAGCGTTCTTTCTCCTACCTGGCAACCAAGATGTACAATTCCAACTTGAATCTATACTCCCTTGATTTAAAGACGTTCACTTTCAAAACAAAATTAGAAACTTATATGTTGAGCGGATATAGAATTACACAATAATTTGATTTATTAATTTTTGTATCCTTTACGGAACAATTTTCACTTTTTACTGTTTTTGCTTTAACTTATTAAGTTGTTGATTTTTCTTTATCTAAAGTATATTGTTATTTTTCATTTTTCTTACTAATTCTTTTTTCTTTGAATGTTATTTTTTAAGAATGTATTATATTATTTACTTTTCTTATATGCTCGGTTAACTTAACAGCTCTGCTGAATTTCGCCGAGTAAAAAATAAAGACGTTATTTATTTATTTATTTTATTTATAAACAGTTTTCAGATAACGCCAATTAATTACTTATTTTATTAAAATTGATAAAAGCTGTTGCCTTTTCTGTAATGGACGTTCGAAAAGAAGGTAAAAAGAAGTTTTGTTGGTTAGAGAATGTTGCATAATGTTGCGGTTAGAGAATGTTGCATATAAATTAATTGCCACTGGCTGTGGTAATGCCGCCGGATCTTATACCGGGTGGTTAAAGATTGACTTTTTGTCTTAAAATAAGAGTAACTTATTTTTTCCTCTTCGTGTCAACTTATTTCGTGGATACACTGTATATCAATTGACAATTAAATTGTATTTATGAAATGAAACAACTGACTCTTTTATTTTTTCAACATTTATAATAAATTTAACTTCTTCAATATGAAAAAACATGTACATATGTGCAAACATAATCTGTATACGTTTCCGAATAGTTAGAACGTAAAATGCAAATCACACGAACTGGGCCCAATTTTTTTAATACATATTACATTAAGTTTTTTATATACATTTATTTAGCATTTTTTGTCACTTTCTATTAAAAAAGGTGCAGTCAAGCTATATCTAGATATCTAACAGTTATGACCGCGCAGCTAATTAAGGGGAACCACTGTGCATTGGGACAATGAAAGCGTTCTTTAGATTAATGAAAATCTTACATTAATTTAATAACCAGATTTTCATTATATTAATGAAATTAGATTAATACTATTAATAAATCAGGCATCTATGATTAACAAATCATTAATATAATGAAAAAAAAATAATTGTCCCAATGAAATCAATGTTAATTAATATTATGAACAATATTTTTTTCAGTGTTTTTACCTTTATTTATACAGGGTGTACCAGAAATAAGTGCAAATATTTTAACTGGTAGTATAGTTCAACCCCAGAAACACGCCTATGAGGTTTTTTTCGCAAAAAAAAAAATTTGAAAATTCCAAATTTTTTGAAAAATTTTTTGGAAATTTTTTGGGATTGGAGTTTTTAGTTAAAAAACATAATTTCTTGATAATATGGCAACATAGGTATTAGATTAAATTTACAAGAAAGAAAATCCAGAAAAGATCGTTTCAAAATTTTAGCAAAAAATCATTTTTTTTGGAAATTTTCAAAGTAAAATAACTCCGTTATTTTGGACTTATTTGAAAAACGATAAAGAGAAAATATGTTTCTTTTATAGAAATCTACCACCCGTTAAAATATTTGCACTTATTTCTGGGACACCCTGTATATAGCTTTGGTATTAACTAGTAGTGGGAACTATCGAATGAATACTATCGAAACATTCGATAGTTGCAATTCATTCGAATAATTCGATAGTGAGTAAGAAAACATTCGTTGAAAACTATTCGAATAAAAATTATCGAATATATTGCCTTGAAATATTGTATTCTAGTAATTCGGCAGCAAAAACCATTCGTTTATAAAATTCATTCACTTATGAAATTCATTTATTCGTCAGGATCGATTATAATAAAATATTAACTGAATTTTAGTTGTCGCCCGGCGACGTAGGTTTCTTTCCGAGAAGCCCGACAGCGGTCGGTGGCAATGCTATGAAAGAAGCCGGCATCTTTGATTTTTTGCGGAGTCAGATATAGATAAGGACACATTATTTTTTTTATTGAGGTGCTAGTATTTACACAGAAAATACATTATGAAGGGCGCTGTTGCCATATTTTGGTATTAGTTGATATTAGCAAAGAATATTATTGTTTGGCTTTAGTTAGTTAGGGTTAGTATGTCTATATATTCTGCATTTTTTTAATTAATATTCTTTTGTTACACTGCAATAATACTTGTTATTTTGGATGTAACAGTAATAATTTGTTATACCTATTAACAACAAAATTTAAAATCATTTAATATAAATATTTTTTTTAAGTAGTAGCAAAATATAAACAACAAATTAGATGTCAAAATTATTTATATTAGATCCTATTTAAAAATAATATAGTCTCTAAATTTTTTGTGTGTGGCAACGTTGGTTTATTAAATAATAATAATTACAGAACTAATTTGTTATATTAATAACAAATTTTAAAATCATGAAATATAAACATTTATTAATTTTCTAAGCATGCAGTGTAATGGAAGGAAAATAGAAATAAAAAATTAGAAATCAAAATTATTTATATTAGGTACTTTATATTACTATTTAAAAATTATATTTACTTTTACTGGCATTTACTTTAAAAAATAAATGAAATATTTCTTCGCAAAAAACTACATGTAAGAGAATTAGCATAAACAAAATACAAACATCGTTAACTTTTTTTTTAAATTGGCACGTGTAAAACTTTCATTTTAATTTTCTCACCCCATAGTTTGAGTTCCATAACCCCATTTACTTAATCACATTACTTAAATATGATAAGTTCAACTAATTCATATTTTTAAAACATCTGAAATACAAATATGTATTTTTAAAATTAATTGTAAGTTCATCTCATCTCTCTTAAAAATTGCTACTTCTCAAAATTGTCCATTAAAAAATAGACCATATACAATATAAAATTAAATAATTGAAAGATCGGACTACGGAAAACCACACAAATTTTCGGAAACATTTTGACCACCTGCACATGCACACAATCGTCAATAAATAAAATTAAAAAATAACAACTATTTTAGTGTTTTAACTATTTTAATAAACGCAAAAATAGCAAAGTATTTATACGGCGGAGTTATAAAAATTTGGAAGAACTAATAATGCACTGACGCATACAAAAATCAAACGAATACTAAATTTCATTTATCAAAAGCATTCGATAGTCGTGGCTCAACGATAACCATTTAGTCGCACGGCGAGGTTG